TATATATATATATAAACACATACCATTTTGTTGTGTAGGTCATGGAAATGAATTTCACAAACTTTCTCCGCGGTTTCCTCTGATTCGAAGGTGACAAATCCAAAGCCTAAAAGGAACAGAAATTATGGAGAGTTAGAAAACGAAGGTCAGTGAGCATTTCGGACCGTGATGTTTCCTAGGTTTCACAAACCTTCCATGGAGAGGAACAGAAACTGACAAATATTTCTGTGACCACCGGTGACTGTCAGTACGGTTAGGTAGTCTTATCTGGAAGTTTATGGCAGTGATGTGTTAGTGAAAGAGGAACAAAGGACACGCGTTAAACCCTCGCAGTGGAATCAAAACAAAAGGTCTGTGCGAGGAAAAGAGTGTGAACGGCAAGTGGGGTAAAGTTGGGTGGAAACCGGAAACAAGTGATGTCTGCGAAACGTGAACCGACAAAAATGGATGACGGAAAAAGAACATTGTTGAAAATACCTGCACATCCTGCTGCTTTAGTTACTCAAAAGTGTGAGGCAATGAATTTGACAGACCGGAACGGTGAACTGATAAACTATTGGAGGGCTGGCAGATTATCGAATTCACGTATAACAAGTATAAGTATCGGTTGATTTAGGTCACGTAAGGTCAGGGAAAGACACACTTTTGTGGGCTTACAAACTATACGCGCGAAAAAAGACAACCAAACTTCACAATCAAAGCTCTAGTGGCACCTATACGAACTAGGTTGTTCATAGCACGATTCGCCGACTAAAGATTTATTTATCCACTAGGATGGCCAATCAAAATGCCGAAACTCTCAAACCTAACACAAAATGAGCGAGTAGTTGGAACCGCGAAAACGACGACGGCTGGTAGTGTCACGATGACTGAAACACACCAAAACCTCAATTTACTTTGGCTTCCTGTACTCAGTAGGATGTGACCCATTAATTAAGCTCAAACCAATTCGTACAAAGACTGGGTTGAATTTTGGCTGATCTAAGTCATTATGTTGCAATTGGGCTATCAGATAGTGAATCTGAAGCTCACGTTTATCGCTCGTTACTGTATTCAGCCATTCCACCTCTGGGGTGCTGAATCAGATAGGTTGACTCAAGTAAGGCCAACTTCATCGGACTGCACTGCACAGGGTCTACCGTACATGGCATCCTTATCCATTGGGTCTATCCACTGGGTCATAGACTAGTGAAAACTCAAAGGGTGCGTTTTTTTTATCAAGTTTACAATAATTAGACTGCCGGTTTATCTCAACTGGATGACCAGAAAATATGCGAACGGTAGTATGTAGCCCAGCGGTTAGTGACACGGATACCCATCAAGGGACCAGCACTCAAAAGTGGCTCCTGCTACTTCTGCTCACAAAAATTGAGCACTTCCCCGGTTGCGGACCCGAGTCCCGTCCTGGTGTCTGTTGTCGTGACGATAAGACACAGACTGGCATATGGGCAGATTGACAGAGGGTAGTAAGAATAATAGACATTCACAGACATACAAACACACTCAGTCTGCCAGTGGGGCGTGGTCCGATGGTCAGCATCGAAGTACGCATGCGTAAATTAGACGAAAAACTCCGACGGACACGTCAGGGTACACCTGAGGTGGGTATTAGGTAATATTTCATCCCTTTGTACGGTGATCGATCGATAATTGGTACTGACAGACACACTGAAGATTGTTAGCGGCTTTCAGTGAACTTAAGCCGAAGTGACAACAACAAAAAACGGTCAGGTGGCCTGATGGAGCATAACGGACTGCTGTGTAGTTAACTCCGATCACGATCATAAGCTAACTCTATCAGGCGTCAACGATCAGTCTGACTGAGTAGCTGGTACTGCCAGGGTAGATATGAACCTACGATTTCAGTTCTGACGATGGAAACAAACAATTCTGACACCAATCGAGGGACAGACATAGACTCATTAAAAAAGACCGGTGAACTTTTCGGAAAGGCATGGAAAACAACTCGTAGTTATTGCTAGGCAACATTCCGTTTTTCCTTTGGTAGAAAATTTTCGTCAGGTTTCAAGGACAGTCAAGTTTCAACCCACACGGAGAATCAGTCGACAAGGTGACTTATTTGAAAGCACGCCTAAGCAAGTTTAGGTGCAGACCATGTGTTTTTTTGCCACTTACTGTGTGAGAGTAAGGGCTGCAACGAAGGGTCGAGGGTTTCAGTTTTGACCGGGTTTGTGGTTCTGCCTGCTCAACTTGGATGTCGTCCACAATTCTGGTGGCCTGTATTAGTAAGTTGCGCTTAAGACAAGTGGGTTAGCAGGAAAGACTACTGGAGATTTTCAGGTTCGGTTTCCTACTTTGGATCTAAATCACATTTGCTAATGATCCTCCTGGGCTGATACACAGCGCCACGTGTAAGATGAGGGTAATCCACAATTGCCCACACACACCATTCAGATCCTGTTCCTACGTTTACACTGAGATGCGTGGCGATGTCCTCCACAGTGATGGGGATCGTAAGCCCTGACTTGAAACTTCCACATTCTCAAAATCCATTTTGTATCTCGTGTATGATGTATGCCCTAACTTTAAATCTTTAACCAGCGTCTGGTATTCATCTGTAGTTACTGGTGGTTTGGTTATTCTTCCCTGGTACCTACCACTTCTGTTTTGCCATTCTCTGGCTATCAGTACAGTGTAGATCCTTGTTCAATCGATGAATTCATCTTCATGTACACAAGCCCAAGTTTTTTTTCGATTAGGAAGCAATCCCTCACTTGCACCAATACTAGGAGTAACACGTTTTACTTCCTGGAACGTTACTTTAATGTTGGCCGTGTTTAGCGATCTCCGAGTGAACCCAGATGTTTCCGACTCATATACAATGACAGTTGTGCCAAATCATTCCTTACTGGGACCGTAATCACATTAAGCACCGCTGTGATCTAACTCAGTGGGTGCCTACTTTCTTTAACCTTGTTCCTGTGTTTTTGGACCACAGTTCAGACTGCTTCTTCAGTACACAGCGCTCTGACTCGATCAAACATCGATGGGACGATGCTAACGTATACGGATTTGGAACGGACCGACGAGTAACTCAGTAGAGTTATTCATCATCAGATCCACCTTTCTTTTTGGCTTCGATTATGTCTTCCTGTTTCTTGTTTGCACATGTTGAACCACAGTACATATTCTTGACAATAATACATAGCAAATGAGTGCAGACGGTTGCTCAGATGAACACTTCGGCAAGATTCATAAAAAACTGTTATTCAATGGTAAGTATAAAGATATGCTGTCCCAAACAAGCTGTGATGACAGATCGCAAATGTGACAGGTCTCTGTGCGTCTCTTGCCAATTAATCGATCGGTTATATCATACTGACCCGTGGAAAAATTCAGGTCAAACGGCACGCGACTCACTCAACCATACGCCGACTCAAACAATACGTAAGGACTACGGGATCTTCAGAATTCAACGAGCTAAGCGATCAAGCCTATTCCCTATTCACATAGAGTATATGAACCAAATAATCCCGTGATAAGTGAAAGAAGAGTTTTCGAGAAACATACCAATGTGCAAATCAATTTGGTTTTCACGAAAAACTCAAGTGAATCACACGTTTATGAGAGATATCGCAGTAATTTTCATAAAGGCAACTACTCACCAGGTTCCTGAAAACCCATCGACAGCCCACGACCAGTTTCGCCCATCTTGGGGCTCATCAGGCAGACGCAGTCCCCGAGTTTCCGTCAACCTTATGTTCTACTTGAATCCAAATTGGACTGTTTTCGATGATGAGCCCCAAGAAGGGCGAAACCGGTCGTGGGCTGTCGAAGAATTTTCAGCAACCTTGTGAGTAGTTTCCTTTATAAAAGAAGACTTCTTTTCAGAGAAATTGATAGCGCCTTAATTCTGTGTTCTGCCTGTGCTCATTGCGACGGCTGGATAAGGTAGGTGAATGGACAATGATCCAAGAGTCCTAATCACACAACCATAAATATTACCAGTGCAATTTCAGTTGCCCTTTGGAATCGTATGGGACTTTCACAAATGTGCTCGTTACTCACGCACACTACGGTGTACGTCGGTCACTCCGGACTCCAAGTCATTTTGGACGTATCACGTGAAAAAGTGAAATTGATATTCATCATTCGACGAAAGTTTCACGGACTATGTCAACCGAAAGTCAACACGACTAAACTGTTCAGAGTATCCTCGCTTATATGTAGCCCACATCCGAAATTTCATGCGAGTTTCAAATTACTTATTCTCACACAGTTGTTAGAAAAAGACATCAAAATTACATGAAATGAATATGGTGAAGCTAAAAGAAACCAACAACAAAAAGCTTGTGCTATGTGATATCCATTCAAATACTACGAGAGTACCAAGATAAGGATAATAACAGATCTTGGATAAAGCATCTCTCCAACAGACAGCACAGGGACAGACGAAGGACCCCACGAACTTGGATTACCTATCCAGCCTACAAGCAACAATAAAACAGGAACCATTGCCTGCGTTCCCGCATAACCACCAAGGCATGATCTTGGTTAATCACTTCAAGAACGGTCCACTATGTAGACGGCTGTTGCGTATGAAGCTTTCACCAGTCCCAGTGGATGGCATTCATCCTTCCGAGGGAGGGCTGCCACAAATGTCGAACGCTGTTACGCTACGATGCCCGAGCACGTGGGAGGCTCTGATCTGAGTACTTAGGATACGGTCTAAAAATAATTCTGAGGGCATGATATAACATGCTACTCATAAAGTTGCCCAAAAAGTCAAAAGCCAACTAGTGAATTCGCCCTTCTTGAGGTACATCATTTCCGAGTTTCTGTCAATCTCAGGTTCTACTACCAGATTTGTGTGCAATTAAGGAAAGGCACTTATTCACAAATTGTATCGAATATCGTTCCAACTGCAACATCGAGCGGCTTCAATACGCGAGACACTTGATTGGAAAATTTAATAAACAAGGAATTCAGCTGAGATTTAGTTGATTAACACCAGATAAGCTCACTAATGAGTGTATATTGTCACTTTAATTTGAAAATATGCAGCAACACTACGTGATTAAGGTGCTGTCATACAATAGCATAAAAAACCAGTAGGTACTCTGGTCCCGAGCCTATGATGTTGTGTTCTACCACCGCCCGCTTCGGTAACCTGAAGGCTCGAAATGAATACCACATTATCTTATAGAAAGAGCCCCACGCATAATACGCAAACCTTTCTTTATGCAAACAACGCTTTCGTCAACTGGCTTGTGCGACCGTTAGCCCGTGGAAACAGCAGACTTATCAGGGCCAGACGAATTGGTGAACCAGAAACGTAAGTCCTTGGCATAGTAGGCCGAATGACTGGTCCAACCAAAGGTTCACCTTTTACATTTTGGCACGTGGCATGACCCGGTAAGACGAAACCGGCTGCAACAGCTTGGATGCAGATAGTTGAGGTAAAAATCTTAGTTCCACTGGATTCATTTCAATCCTCTCCGTTTTATGAGTGTCACCATAATGTTGTGACGAATGCTCTTGACGACCGGCCACCAATTTTCAAAGGAGTGTGACATTTCGCGAGATTTTTAAATGTCATGTCCAAATTGCTGCTATAGGTGAATGCCACTTGGCGCTGTCTTCCGATTGGCTGTACGTCCATCCCACAGTAATAGGTTATTGCTATGGCCCATCATTTTCGAAAAGGAAAAGCCCCACTACTACTGAAATTCCGGACCTTTATTCGTCTCAGTTGGTTTGGCAAACTTCCTAACAGGAAGCTTATGCCAAATCCTCTCAAACGACTATGAGAGCCGACAAAATACACTCATCCGCAAAACAAGCTTGTTCTGATATGAAATTCAACTGAACCCAGCTGAATCCTTTGTTTACGAGTTTTCAGCAACCTTATGCGTAGTGCTTCGTCTAGACTATGAGAGCCATTTTACTACCCTATTCCGCTACCGATTACCATAGTGTGTTAGTAAAATAAAAGCCAAAACATGTGAACGATTCACTCTGCATGTACTGTGTAACTGATGAGCATGCGCGCACAATAACAACTTAGTGTGTTTGAGGGTCCGAAGATTGAAAGGCGGCCAAAAAGCAGGGCAGTGAAGTGGGGACGACAAAAGTGGAGATGTGACTGACTGACGAACCTCCAGTCGGGGTCCACTGAACAGTGGCAGTTAGATGGAGTGGAAGTGTGGTCAGGAGATAGTGGTGAGAGAAGTAGGGGCATCCACGGTCGCCTGTTCACAATTTATGCTTTGCTGCACGCAGTGATTAGGTGATTCGGCTAACGTGACCACGCGCGAGGTGATGCGAAATGGAAGTATAGTGATCCCTTGCCACATCGCAACTTTCGAGCAGTTAGTTGGAACGTACATTTTTTCTTAGGAATATCGCGGCATCCGCATAACCCGCAATAGGTCGTCTTTATGAATTTTCATTATTCACTTTATTTTATTAACCGCAATATAGGAACCTCAGTTGAAGAGCGGGGAAATAGTAGAACTGTCTGAAATATAGTACAGTGCATATAACATCACAGCACACCAGTAAGTACCCAATGTTGTTAATATGCCGGTGGGAGAAAGAGTCCGGTTCTTGCGATTGGCTTCTGGCTACGCCACATACACTCGAGTCGGGAAGCAAGGATTACTGGCCCGTATGAAAGAATAAGTGTAGATATAGCTAACATTTTCACGGATTGTACACAAAATCCCCCCTTGCATCTGTCTTCCACATGCGTCTAGTATATTTTGAGAGAGCGGACTGGAAATTTAGGGATTAAACAAACATATCGTTTCTCAGCATACCACCCGAGCACTGTAGACTTTTGCCTTTTCCTGAAATTCCGCTCATCGATGATGACGAGGATATAAAGGGGAAAGAAAAGGTGTTGAAGACGACCGCCTATTCAATTCATTGTAGGTAAACCAAACCAGTGATTTGGTGCCATGTGCACTTCGATGGTTGCTTCTCCGACGTAGTAGCTCGGATGCAGGAGCGTCATTGACTGTGTTATTGGGTCACATCATTAATTGTAATTAACCCTGTTGGTGGAGCGTCCCCGGATCACCAGCCCGGAGAAGGGGAAACGGAAACTGCTCACGTAACTGGGTTCAATAGACAGAACTATCGTACGTAATTGCCAGACCAGAAGCTGCCGGTCGCTGGGGTGTCTCCATTCCGGGAATAGCTGGACAAAGGATTTTGCGAAACAGATAGTCTATTGGCATTGGAACTAGCGTGGCCTAAGGAATGTGAGAGCAGAGTGGAAACTTTCCAAGGCAAAAAACCTATTAGAATGACTTTAACATTACTAATACGATGTTCGGAAAATGATTCCGACGCGTTCAAAAGAAGACCGATGAAAGTCTTTGTGTATCTGAGCACAGAGACATGCCTCTGACCCAAAAAACACCGCAGATCAGAATGCGGAAGTGACGATGGAGAGACTGAAGTCAGGCTGATGCCACAGACGTTGGTTGTCAAAATTTTCAACTCGACCAAACAAAGCTAAGCATGGAAGCTATCCCTCAGTCAACAATCATATTCTGTCAATCAAAAACGCACTCACCCCGATGTCTGTTAGTCGTTTTGTCCATCATAAGTTCACAAGATTCAATCTGCCAATGAGAGGACGGAAAATTTCACGCAAGTCAAGTACAGAGTAGTTATCATAATTTATAAGATTGGCGCAAGACTGGGAAGGTAAACTTGTGGGAAGTTGGGGAAACGGAGAACATTTCCCACTTGTTTGGCAGGATAGGACCGACGGTAAGAATTGTATTACAGGGACAATGCAAGGATGCAGGACAGCTAGGTCGTATTCTGTTGGGTCGTAGTGCATAATCCCACTAAAGGCAGATTATACACACACGCAGATTAGCCTCTTCGACAGAATGTTGAAGACAACTCTCATATTGGGACGGAACACAAATGGCTACAGGATAGCAAAATGCTAAGCCCAACTACGTGATCAGATTCGAGTCATAAAATAGCGACATATTTTGTGTGAGTACGTTTGACCGTCACCAAAAAGGACAACGTTCAAACGCCTTGCTGGGGGGGGGGCAGTATTGTTAGAAATAGGCTCGCGTTACTGACGTTTCCCAATAAGGATGCGACAGATGTACCGTGCTCCTCACCTGTTCAGCTGGCTTCACGTGGGGCGGAAGGCGAAATCTAGATTCCACAAGTCACTGGTGCGTCAGGGTGTAACAATGTTTGTATGCGATATTTATGATAACTGGCGTCATACCCGGTACAACTTACTGCTCGATCACCTCCGTGGTTCAACGATGGATTATCTAAACTCCATCCGGAAGTCATCAAGTACAATGCCCAGGATTCGGCCGAACGGGTAATAGTGCTGAAGGAAGCATGAATTAAGTTCGCAAAATATACTCACTAGCTAATCAAAATAGTCCAGTTTGGGTTCAGGTAGAAATAAAGAAACTCGGGGACTGCGCCTACCTGATGAGCTCCAAGAAGGGCGGAACCGGTCGTGCGCTGTCGACGAATTTTCAGAAACCTTAGAGCATTGCATGACTTAAGTTCCTTAAGAAGTGGTGAATGTTAGCACGCGAGTTTGGTACTCTGGCTAGCATTTCAGCTCCTAGATAACTGCGTTATAAATCCGGAATCCCTAGGCTACCGATGTTCGTTTGAGACTGTAAACAGGCATGCCACTGATTCTACGCTTTTCTGTGCAGGTGGCACGGTTCGTCACGCTACGCTAGTGTGAATCCGATGCGCATGTTGCCATGGCATCTGATTTCAATAAACAAAACATACTGCAATGCCAACTGGTATGGGCGTCTATGACCAAGTGAGATATCAGTACCTTCTACACTGAATGCGTATCAGATGCAGTGACGACTATGTCAACAATCGAACAACTCTTCTCCTTATCTGCACACGTGAATGGTTGTGAGGCAAACAATTATTACCAAGTTGTGCTGTAAGAGTATTCATAAAGTTGTTCTCCTTATTGATCCTGTAGTTGCCATGACAAGGGAGACCACATGACAAATGCTCACAATCATTACCACTGAAGTTGGAAATAAACTGTCGAAATGGCTGTCATGGGTGTGGATTTGCAGAATGATTAATCGAAGTGAGTATCAGACCACCACGTATTGTTAGGATGAATGGGACTCCCTGGTGTGGAGCCTCACCAGCTGCTTGTGCGGGGTGTTTACTAGCATGTTCGAACACAATTCATATGTTGGACACAGTGTACTCAACTTCTGAGACAGTTAAATTCACGCCGAACAAACAGAGTCGAGGGATTGCATATCCCACCGCAACAGCCCCGTGTTTTGTTTAAGTTTGCATAATTCAGACAGTTATGGTGCATTGCCTGTACGTAGGAAGCAGCACCGTGGCTTTTTTTACTTGTCTATCCAAAACTCGCCAACTGGTCAAAATGTCGTCATACTTTGGTTTGTGAAAATAAGATATTCCTGAAAATATTGTGCCAGCCTCACATATACAACCGAACTTCAAAACGATGTTCAGTGATGTTGAAAGTGCGAACACTGTTGAACCAACTCTTCATCCATAGCTTCACTCTTCACTCTATACTAGTCTTCATGATCATACGGCAAGTAAATAGAGATACTTAAGTCTGATACACTGCTGTTGATGCTCCCGCGCCGTTCCCATTGACGTGCGTTTTCTGTGCGAACAATTTGATATGCACATGGGCTGGTTTTATTGAAGTTTATGGAACGAACAATCGGCTGAACTCGGCGAGAAAGTTAACCCCGTGACGAAAAAAACAGTTTTTCTCTGTATTTAGCTCAGTGGTTAGAGCGTGCATTTACTAACCGGAAGGTCCGTGGTTCGAACCCGACCTCTGTCTCCCGATTTCCCCTGTCCGGACTTGGGCAGCCTGGCATTATCCTAGCCCTCGTGCTTCCTTCTGGTGACATGGCAGCTAGACAACGAAAGGGTGCTACAGCTGAAGGATTTTTTCACTAAAGACAAACAACTTTCATCACTGGATGGCGTCTCGTATCAGACCCTGATGACAATGAGTGGCTAGTTGCAAGTATTGACAACAGACCTAACGCACTCACTTCCCACCGGGTGTCACCGAAGTACAAACGGCGAGACTGATGGACAACATATGCGTGTGCACGAAAGGATGAGTCGCCTCAGGTCAATTGAGCTGTGACAAATTCATTCGTTACTTTGACAATAAACGAGGTGCACAAATTTGTGGGAGGAAATGTGTTGTGTCCCAAGCTTCAGATGTCACCGAACCATAATAATGACAATGACGAATTGCATGACGCGTTGATGAAATTACTTCCCTTATTTAGGCTTCCAAGCACAACTCTTGCTTCGGTATGAGTCGATTACGGGAAGAGGAGAGCAGCATAAGTAGTCTAGGCCCATAACCCGACTAGACAGAGCATACGGGTGGCGGGAGGGGGCTGTGGAAAACAGGTCCGTAAGTACATCCAAGTGGATGAAAGAACTGGTGAAGGGAAAAACCTGACATTGCATGAAGTTAAAATCTGTGCGCAATTTTACAGGGGTGGGTGGGTATGAAGACTGCATCATTTGAGGAGTATTGGAATGTTCCTTAACGGGATTTGTCCGAACGAACAAGGACGACGCCCAGTGTAGTATTCTGGCTTAGACGGACTGCACAAAGTGATCAATACCTCCAACTTTCTTTAGTTAGGCTACCATCGTACCCTTATTTTGCAGGAGAAAAGCAGTCCTTCATGTTAGATGTGGTACCTTGAACAATGGTAAGGTGGCCGTTATGTATGCGATTATGCTTCAATTTCTATGGTTCTCCTATCGCGGATGCAATTCAATTGGACATTCGAACAATACTAAGTGACTCTATGGTGGCCCGCTAGATTTCGGTTTCAAAATATAGTGCCCAAACACAATTAAGTCTATTAACGTTTTCATCGAAGATAAACCATTCAAAATAACTGACGCGTCAAAAGAAAGTTATTGTTTGGGGCAGAGATCAGGTTTACACTCAAACGACAGATCCTCTCTCAACATATACGTTATCGGTCCGTAAAATTCATATACCAGCAAAAAACGATCATTTCAAGGCGGATAAAACTGAAATCAGATTGAATAACTGCCAGCAGAACTCTTAAACGGTGAAATGTATACCAAGCAGATGTTACGGACCGAATATGTTGCGAGGGGGGTAAAACTTTGTTTCTGCAATTCAACAGAGAGTTGTCGCAGTTGTTAAAGCGCGAATTTATTGACCAGAAGGTCAAACCCGACTTCTGCATTTCGACTTCTCCTATCTAGGCTTAGGCAACCTGGCAGTATCCCAGCGCTCGTGCCTCCTTCTGGTGGCATGGCAGTCAGGCACCGAAAGGGTCTTTAAGCTGAATGATTATTATTGTCATCTCAAGGAAACCCGTTTACATGCACACAAGATCTGGTCTAAAAAAGAACTCCACACGCGTTTTAACATTCATATCACGGCACGTCCGGAGATGCTTCGACATCTGCATTTATACATAGTCCATCAATCTAATAAAGAAGAATGGCACCCTAATTTCAGGAAACTAGAGAGTGAAATCGACTTTTGCCTCAAACAAGAGTACTTTTGTGAATATGTATCCCACTTTGACCCGGATCGTCCCGAAATTGTTTGATAGAACCTTTAAATTAAGAATTAAATATAGTTGCCTCCTTTCAAAGAGACTACCCGTCAGATTAGGACACTTGTAGTTTATCGCTTGAAGTGGCCTTTGTTAACAAACTCAGCCGCTCCCCCCACGAAGGAACGACGTTGCAGAATGTATCCTTTGGGACCGGTTATTTGATATCAAGTCCCAGAATGGAGTAAATGCATATTTGGATTGAGGCACAGAGCACAACCCACCCCTCGTCCTGGAACTGGGTCAACCATTGGTGGACATCAAAAGTGTGCAATGATGGGGTGGAGTAATCAGTAGTCGATAGGGCGACTATCTTTATGAAGATGTAACGTAAGTTTTAATCGTCACACACACACACACCGAATGTCATGAGGATACGAGGCAGTTACCTGAGGAAAAAAGATGCACCGATTGTTTAAGAAGTACTGCAGTCACCTCATGTCGAACGCTTGTAGAGATGAATGTTAACCTGCAATATCTTGCATACGTTTGGTCACCAGACGATATAACTTCACGGGTATGATGCAGAGTCGGCATTTCCTGCTATCAGCTTGCGTTTAATTAGTTAAGCCGACATTCAATTGTCTCAGCGTGGTCGCCTAGTGGACGACCCGATTTCCCCTATGAAGATTACTGTACTGTTTTCTGTTGCCTCTGTACTTCGCGAAATTGCTGATTCATGGACTTGTCACTCGTGTGTCCATCTTCGAGGGTACGGAACCCACATATCGGAGTTCCAGCCTTTCACACTGCACACAACCTCGCTCAAAGTCGACCTTGGTATGCCCGAATAGGACTACAGTAAATGTATCTTTAAAATCGCAAGAACCTGAGTGCTGGTCCAGACAGTGTGTCCTTATCACCGGGATTATTGAGCTAATTTTGCTACAACTAAAAGCAAAATCACGGCCATCGACGGTTGGCATTATCCGTTTAAAATCTCGGTTGAAATTCTTGCCCTATGTGTTCCACGCCTTATTCTGGATTACCAAACAGGCAGCGAAGCTGAGCAGACAAGCGCATGTCTAGTCAGACTGGATTTTATAAAATTGATCGATCATTGGCAGGCAGCTACTTAGCAAGAGTGCCCTAATTTGCTGTCAGCAGTGATCAACCACAGTGAAAATCTATTGAAATTGTTCATGTGTGTTTCTTCTGAAGACGCTGCCTTTGTCGTGATGAGATACCTTGATAATGGTGACCAAGGCACTGTGTTTTCAGAACCTGACATCGTTGCGCCTATATGGGTGGAGATCATTCGAATAAGCGAACAGTTCGCGAAAAGGGACCCGAAGGGCGTTCATCCCGTGATTGTTCACGAATAGCTAACTCATTTCACCTAAGCTAACCGGTTTCTCCATTCCAGCTATCGTGATCCTGTGCTCCATAGTTGGGAAAATGTCGAACTCACCAATAATTTGTATATTATGGGTTCGAGTACCAGCATTCAGTCAGGATGGCGTCGTGCCTTCTGGAATGATTATGGTGCTGGTGTGACGGATATCCTACTGATGGGGCATGCGAGTAGTACGTCTTCGCGTAAATCCGCTTTGCGTCTCTTGAAAAGTGAGATCTATTAAGGAATTCGTGGAGTCTCTCTGTAGCATTTACTTGCAATTGAGTAACAGTCAATGAATATCCAGGAATGTTCAGGAAGACGCGTTCAATGAGAAGATGGATATTCAGGTTTTGTAAACAAGATGCTCCCCTGTCCAATAGTCTGTAACTGTTTAGTTGGTATTTTCTAATGAATAACCCACCAGTGACTGCCTTCTTCCTTTCACTGGTGCTGATTTCCTCTATGGTTGAACAGGTCTTATAGATCAGTGATTTGTGTTTTGAGGGTCTTGTAAAGAGGGCTAGCAGCCAAAATTCACTGGCTGCTACGTTCAAATGAGGTATGTATGATTAATTGTTTGTATGGTTAGTCAGTGTTTGGACCCTCAAAGAAGACCACCCCTAGGTGATCTTACTTGAGCCGTTCCCTATCATCACTCGGTAAGCTACAGGGCTCGATTAGCTTACGGTACGCCTGAAAATGTCTTCAAGACAGCTAGACTAAAGGGTGGGATTACGTGTCAACATCAGATTAGGTATTCTGTAAGCTATGAATTGTTTTTGTACACTGCCTTTGACCTTGAGTTGCCTACCAACATATTCGCGTTCTTTCTTGCCCCGGTGAGTATATGAGCTTTTCACTTTTTTCACCAACGTTAAAAAGTCGATATTGCGGACACCATCACGAAGCAACGTATCTGCAGTCGCAAAACAGAAGTGACAGAACGCATAAACAATCATGCTCCCAATCTTTTATACTTTGCATAAAAACCAACGGACCCGCCACACGATATACGACCAAACTTATTCGCCCGATGTATGGTTTTGAATGACATTTGCTCTCAGCTGAAAAGTCGTGGGAACAAAATATCACTAAAAGACTGGGCAAGTGGACTGGACAACCACACACATTCCACTCAGGTCGTAAACTGGTGGGGTAGCTCTGCACATTTTTGTAATTCGAAAAAAATGGGTCCGACAACTCAATCGTCCAGTTATTGGACACACACTCTTTTATGGCGTATCTGTCGCAAAACGCGCATCTTTTCCGGGACAAAACACACTGGAAGCTAGACAACACGCCAAGATGGCTGACGTTCGACACAAAACAGCACAATGACTTCTCTTGATCGATTCCGAGGATCACATTCGGGGCAACTGAACCACTATGCGGACAAGCAAGTCAAATCGGGATCCATACAAAGCGGCCGCAAACCGAGGGCTAGCGATTTTGCAACGGGTGAGGGATAACACAGAATCACGAGACATGGTCTATGAAGTATCACGCATGGCCGTTGGTTTGTAGCATTCTGAGGATTGGTTTGCCAATCGCTGAGCTTCCCAAAATACTTTTACGAAAATACGACACACGGCGCCAGAATGTAGCTTCTGGCCGTATTGAGGTTGGTCAACTAATGACAGTTCGATTGTGAAGCAACTAGTGCGGATCGCCAAAAGGAAGAAGTTTGGCGGGAGCATAATAAGTATCAACAGCGGAGTCAGTGACCAACTGTCGGACCGAACGAAACTTTTGAAAATAAAAGGAAGCCTTCGAGGATAACACCAACTAACGTCCATGTAGCCGTGTGGAAATTAGGCTGGTGTTAATGCGAAACTTGAGTGAATCCCAGCTAGACCCCTAATTCTTCAACTGAATGTGTTGCAAACAGTCCGCCTAATGTTCCCGTTGGTACGATATTTGAGACATCGCAGTGCGTTTTCTGGAAGGAAAACCACTCGTAGGCTTGCTGAGGGCTCTTCGATAACCAAAGACCGGTTTCACCCTTTTGCTTCGAGTTCACCAGATAGGCGTTTTTTCCAAGTTTCCCTCAACCTTATGTAATACTTGAACCCAAACCGTATGTGATGCGAGAACTACAGTCATATGCACGCCAATTTCATTTTACCGAGAGACTACATGAATTCACAGCTGAATCTCTGGTTTATGATATTCTCCAGCTGAAAGTGCATTTTGTTTCGTTTACGCTCCAAAATATTACGCTAAACTCTAATTACTGTACGTTTTGGGCTCATGGTTGGTGTACGGCATTTAAAACTTAAGGCTTCCATTGGACAGGGGAGTGAATTGACTCTGAACATCAAGCTAAGCAAATTTATGCTTTTACAGTAGTTCCCGCTTGATCTCTGGTTTATGATATTCTCCAGCTGAAAGTGCATTTTGTTTCGTTTACGCTCCAAAATATTACGCTAAACTCTAATTACTGTACGTTTTGGGCTCATGGTTGGTGTACGGCATTTAAAACTTAAGGCTTCCATTGGACAGGGGAGTGAATTGACTCTGAACATCAAGCTAAGCAAATTTATGCTTTTACAGTAGAGACTTTAGGATAGCCAGGCGAAGTTGCATCAGTGCCAAGACATTATGTGCGTCAGTATAGCTTGTCATTCATAATTTCACTGCAGTAAAACACTTGATTCTTTACTGTCCTCTTGAGACCTAGTCAACTTGAAGTGGTCTCGACGAACAGCGGAAACAGCCTCTTAGTAACTCAACGGGTATAACGCGACAATGAAAGGAGTCGACAGATGTCTTTATGATTGACATGATCATAATAACGGGAAGATGCGATCGACGGAGAATGGGATAAATTAACTCAAAGAATAGAACAAACCAGATTTCGCACAGCTATATATACATAATTCGAGCAAGTGGGGCACAAGATATTCTTGCCCTTGTTATCTCCTGTAAAATTTGTTTATAAAATCATGAGACCATAACTCGGGGGTACTTGGAGATGATATCACTAAAATATATCATTAAAATGCGAGATAGAAATAACAGTACGCGGATCCACCAAAGGCATTGCTACTAAAAGCAATACTATTTGAGCTCTGAAAACAGGTTCATGCTCGAAATAACTGTGTTCCTCTGCCTCTTCGGCTCGTTTACCTTCCACCCATTCACTCCTTGCCTTTAACGTTGTTCAGAAGTCAGTCGCAAGGCATATTGCGACAGGCTTCTGTATGTTCGCTCGCTGATCTTATTCCTTCAGGTCTAAATCAATGGCAAGGACTTGTGTACAGCACCAAAATCGGATCAGAGAAAACCGCCTGGGCCCATTCAACTATGATTAGGCGTCTAGTGGTTTGACCATTACCGACCAGCAAATACGACTTGGATGTCAGTCATTCAGGTGGAAACATTCTACAAAACCTTAGAGTAAAGAAAATGTTGTATTGGAGTCTGCCGATAATCGAGCTGAGAAGATATAGACTCCATCTGAAATTCAGCGAATCAGGTCGTAAGTATTGCCATCTCAGCAAACAAATCAACAACTACTAGTAAGCACGACTATGTCAGGTGACCAGCTATCTAACATAGGTTGAACACAACAACTGGCGTTGCGAACCTCTCCTGCTGATAGCGATCGAATTCCATCAGTCGCGCTCGTGGTGCCTCTCTGAGCAGTTTATCTGTATGGATCAGAACGGCAGAAGTTCAGAAGGTTGTTACCTCATTCCGGGGTTTGTGATTAGGTACGGTTTGTCTAACTAAGCGAACACCTTTATTCGTGGGATGTCCAAAATCCTTACAATTCCCAAGATCACAAGGGTGGAAGGTATGTTTAAAAAAAGTTGTGAAATATACGTAACACAATACATATAAGGCCGTTAAAAACTTCGACAGCCCACGAGGGAGTTTGTCCTTCCAATCCGGGCTCATCAAGTAGGAGCTGTCCTCGGGTTTTCGTCAACCTTATTTTTTACTTGAACCCAAATTGAACGAAATTCGAAAAATACACTAATTTGCATTTCAGTGTGGTTCTCCAAGAGATGCACTTGAAAGCCGGCCGAATTTCTCTTTTATAGTGTTTTTCTCGCGTGAAACTAAAATTGGTATGCAAATGAGTGTATTCTTCGAAGGACACAGAATCTTGCCGAATTCAAGCTGAACACGTTTCATCATGTAAAATGCGTCGGTTGGCGCAGAGTTGATCAGCAAACACTAAAGGTATCATAACTATCACAGTAAGATTGCGTCATGTCTTTTGTCGTTAAGACTTGGACTCCTGGTGGTTTTCAGAAGGCGAATAACTCACATGAGAAGCAACATCCAGGACAAAAACTATGGGACTACGCAAAGATGGAGAAATTCTTCCATGGATTGCGCTTCAGTGCACCTGCTGACACCGGAAATAAGATATTCCAAAGAGCTATGAGTTGAAGAGGTTGACAAACGGAACACGCGAGTTATTTATCTGAGAGTAGGGTTCGTTTCATGGATTCCATTCTACGGAGTAAGCAACAGTATCGAAAAAGCAACTGACAGTGACCTATCAGAGGCATATGGACGAGGTCATATTGTGAGTAACAAAGTCCCCTTGAACTTCTGGGGTACCTGAATACAAACAACAAGGAGATATGATATTTTGACGTCTGAAGTCAGAATCTGGTATTGAGTTTTAGAATGGTCTGATTTCAATTATCGTGCCGTGAACGATGTACAAGACGTGTGGATTCCAAATCTACTGTATTGCTAACTAATCCACTGACGTCCGTTGTGCGTAATCGATTGGCTTTGATATTAAATGTGATCTATGGGCGATGACGACTCGGTTCTTGCGTTACGGACATGAATTCGGACCACCTGTTAAGTAATGGACCGGCGTTATCTGGGCTTGAGCATACGCTGACTCAACATGAATATCCGCCAGATTGCCTAGGAAACACAGGGTTCAACAAAAGTATCCACAACTTTATCACAAACACAGAGTGTGTACTTAGAGAAAACGTGCATTTTTTGGAAGAAAGAGAACACCCCGAAGCGACTGAAGAGTGTCCGAAAGCTACAGGGATCCCTCGGGTTATTAATACTGCACAGTGGAACAGTCATGTGGTGAAACAGTGCCGTGCGAGTATGCCCACACGTCCAAATCACGTCCGATTTCGTCATGTGCCGGAGCAAAGGTCAGGAAGTAGTTCACGCATTTCACGCCCACCCGATGGCCAAGGCACCCCGTACACAAGAGCACAGACAACCATCTATGATTAACCGAGTCAAAGAAATCAACCGCTCGAGAACCGATGTGGACGTGCAGGAGAGACTGGTGTATTAAGAGCAGATCGACCATCAAATACGGTCACAAGTGAATGGCGTAAATATATCTCTGTAACTGCATTAGTACAGTTTTTCTGGCCGCCTTCTTGTCTTCTGACTGAAACCCGGTAGCATTAGAGAACGTGAAGAAATACAAAACACGGCGAATACCACCAAACGCGTCATACCTGAGATAGATAGATTGGCTGGTTCCTCGGTGATTGAAACACAACTGACATGACATACGAAAGCAAAGAAACTACACTAAAGTCGTTGAGCTTGGATACATGATTCAGTGATGGTTATGAGGTGCAGCTTTCAGTAATGAGAAATTCAGTTGATATTGCTGAATGAGTAGCAGTCGATTCACACATCAGCTCTGAGACTACCTCCTTTCCAGTCCAAGAACCGTCTGAGATTTAAACTGATTCGAGATGCCAATCCAATAATGCACAAGCGGTTTGGTCCACTAACGTCTCCAGTCAACCAGGGAAATAGGTTTAAGCGGATGCGAGTAACTCTCGTACGTTGCAAGAAATAGGGTTTATTGTGCCGACAAACGCTCAGTTACAAATTCAGTTGAAGTAAATGGAAGATTCAGAGGGGATTCACCTGACTATGTCGTTTGTAATACTCATAAGAGTTTTCTCCAAAGTTCCTACGGAATTTAGGAGTAGTACTGAGATCTAATGTTCTCCGAGAATGCGCAAAATTTGTTGTTGAAACTGTAAGAAATTTATTCCAAAGCGTACCCAAAAGATGTCGCTCACACATTGGTGGTTCAGAAGTTAGCATGCCAAATTCCATCGTTTCCAGTGATAGTACGTGTGGTGAGCCCAGTTTGGTCTCTCGTGAGAAACAAAGTTATAATCAAATGAGAGTATTTGTCGACTTAGCTGTTATATTTTGTATGAGAAACATATTTTTACACCCACGTGTGGTCCAACATTCGTCGTTTTGCTGAAACATTTCGGTAAAGATGTATGGATACAAGGCTACAATGGTTTGGTGTGAAATTCGATGTCCCATACTGAGCAGTGGTACATCTGTGGATTGCTGTACAAACACTTTAAGACCAATAGCAAAACACGCTGCTATAAATCTTGTTAAAAGTTACCGAGGTGCCCTAACAGCGAAAGCGTGTGGAACGACGCGATCGGCAACTCGAATTTCGCTCTCATCTTAAGAACGGTAGCCAAGGTTTCCGGCTCAGTGCTTCCTCAAAATTCGTATTAAAAGCGCTCTTTTGGAACATGAGTCCATTTCGATAGACATGCAGCCTAGCCCAACTCAATCGATCATCCTGCATAAAGTTAGTTTCGATGTTGGAATCCAGGTTCGTATCGTGCGGTACGACTGCATTCATCGCTGTGGACTGCTATCTCCTCCAAGCTTGACAGAATAGATAAGTCGACAACCCAATCCGTAAATGTGGCATAATTAACAGCCATCCAAAATACTGATTCGAGCAGCGACGCATTCTTATGCCTTCACACAGACGTATACATGCACACCTTGAAGAGTGGAGGAATGGTTGGCTGGTGAATCGCGCGTGCCTGCCAATTTCTTAACGATGCACTCAAAAACAATGCAACCAAGCTTGTCACGCATGCCAACAAAGTCTATGCATAGTTAGGATTCCAGTCATGAGCAAGAAAAAAAGGGTTCCACATCTTTTACAGTTGGCCTAAGTCCCGGACTCCCTGAGAAGGACTTCTGCCTTATTGCAGGGTGATTGTGGCACGTGAAATTTCAAGGACTGTCTTTGTTGATTTTCTGGTCAGCAGGTAGAAACCAGTCCAGAGTCACTTTCGGATCTACAAATGTCCACTTCAGTCCGTTTTAACCGATGCCATTTCTACTTCTATAGCACGACCTAAATCCGAGTCGTTTTCTGCTACTTATCGTAATTCTCTGTTCCATAGTCCGATATTCTGTATACTGTATTTCGGTAATGACAACCTGAACTGAGGAAACTACTCACAAGGTTGCTAAAAACTCTTCGACACCCCACGAACGGTTTCGTCCTTCTTGGGGCTCATCAAATAGGCACAGACTCCGAGTTTTGGTCAACCTTATGTTCTACTTGAGCCCCAATCGGACTGTTTTCGATGATGAGCCCCAAGAAGGGCGAAACCGGTCGTGGGCTGTTGAAGAATTTTCAGCAACCTTGTGAGTAGTTTCCTTTATGAAAATATACTGCGATATCTCGAATATCGTGCTAACTGAATCATGAGGCGGCCTATGTGCAGCACATTCAGTTGTAGAATATCATAAACGAGAGATTCAGTTGAGTCCCTCATGAAAACCAAATTCATTTGCAAATTAGTGCATTTCTCGAAAACCTGAACTAATGTCATTTGTCGGTCCCCATACGTCTGCTGTTTGTTCGAAATTTCACATTGGATTATTATTTGATACGACTATGTTGAAAAAAGATCATCGGGTGTATAAAGATTTCTCTGAAGTGATTTAAGCCTGAGAACGACGACAATGTGAGGTTTCGAGCAAAACTCCTGACACCATAAACCTATATCTAACACGCATTCAGCTGTAGAACCCTTTCGGTGCCTAGCTGCCATGCCACACGAAGGAAGCACGAGGGCTGGGATACTGCTAGGTTGTCCAAGCCTAGACAGGGGAAGTCGAGTGGCGGAGGTCGGATTCGAACCACGGACCTTCCGGTCAGTAAATTCGCGCTCTAACCACTTGGGCCATCTCGCCCCCTATATCTAACACAGGAGACTGTGAATGACAAGGAAGGACATGAGATGAGTTTATTCCGACTGTGGAAAGAGAAACTGCGAGCTACATGGACGTTCATAATCAACTGTTTGTCGGGAAGTCATAAGACAACATTTGGAAATGTCTGGCTTCCTGGAATGATCACAGCAGGCAGTGAATAAAATCAAGACAACCATCGCTTGTGACATTGAAAAAGTAACCAGTCTGTCAGGGTGCGCGCAGTGAATGTACGGTTTGTTCAACCACGCACCCAGCAGCCTAATTCCGATTGGTCGGAAACACCGGAAAAAACGGTAGTATAAACACAGCTAAGGAACACTCAACGTATAGGAGTGGAGACAAAAAGGTTTTTAACGGGCAAAAAATGGAAGAAACCCGTTTTAGGAAGACTGTAAAAATGGCTGGTGGATCACAAGTGATACACTCCACGGATATGGTTCAGGCATGCAATACAGACGAACAATCATTCGTATTATCTTCAGTTTGAAATTCCATCTATAAAAAGTCAACCTACCAAAAGTGCATGGACCCGACCAATTTTAACTGACGGCAACACAAAAAAGACTTCACGTCAGTTGCACATATTGTCCTTGTGATGATTTAAATTATGTTATCATTTAAGTATAAAAAGTAGACACAAGCCGTTCAGGTGCGGTGCCCAGCCATCATGGCTGAGATACTGTCAGGCCGCCCAAGCCCAGACAAGAGCAACTGAGGTGGAAAGATTGGGTTCGAACCACGGACCTCGCGGACATAATTTCGCGCCTTAATCACTGAACTCTCTCGAGCTCACATGATCTCATTAGTGACGCTGAAATGGCACTCAAAGGTACGATCTCCCATTTTACCGCTGAAACTCTTTTCAAATTTGTATTGATTTTCTTCCAGTGTTCACATTGCCTACATGGATTCTACGATTTAGTAGTGACTTTTTTCTGCCCTAAAGGACACTGAATAATAGGGCACGCACTGGAAATGTGACTGACTTCAGACAATGTCTGGTGCACTTTGGCGCTGCTAATCCGACGTCACTGTTGCTGAATCATGAACAGGTTCTAGGCCAAATGATATTTTGATAGTAATGTACTAAGTGCAGTACACGGGGGAAACAGGTTCGGAAGCTTAATTACTATGCCAAGATCTGACTGGTCATGACACACTGAATGCAGCGGGTCGAACGTCTTTAGCGGTCAACATAACAGAAGCGAAGAAAACACGAGCACTCGATGTTCACGACTTTTACTTGTATCTAACAGATCGTGGGAGAAACAAAGGAATCTACAACGACGCACCCCGGAAGCATGATTGGATCACGGAGAGAAAACGGTTGCGTGACAACAACTTGATCGGAACAAACTAAACAAACTGCTGAAGTGAAATGGTAGTGACAAGATCCATTGTTTAGCTAGTACGGTTGAAGTCGGTTAGTAGGGCTGACATCGGAACAACAATAGATGATGTGACCGTAACTGGGGACGGGATTATGAGACTGAATTCTAATATACATGTCAATAACACTAGGACCAGAGTTAGAAGTTTCCGAGTGACATCAGAATAAATAACCGGTGAGAATGACATGAATCTGGAAGACATTCGCTGTATTTGATTGTTCGGACTGGAATAGGGGAAGCCAAAGTTTGGTCAAATGCATCGATAAAGATGGAATACGAAATACGGAACCAGTCGCAAGTTCGAAACCCACAGTCACAATGAGATACGCGAGATTAAGTGAAACTAACGCCGTAGTGAAACTCACTTTTCCATATTGACTGAAATACTCGCTCAGTTCTTCATTTGTGGTCTGAGTGGCGACACCGCCAATAAAAACGCGTTTGGTCCGCGTCGTTAGCTGGATACGGTGCGATCAAAGACAGAGGGAGCGTAAGCAAGGCAGACGAACATCAAAAGTCGCACCTAGGTTGCCATGACTACTTTTACGTTTCTAGCACGTTCGGTTTTACGACATCCAGACGAAAAAACAAGAAATGAAGTTTTTTCTAACTAAATTGACACCTCCAAAGGACAATAAAGTCTCAATCACCAGAAGTACCAAATCTATTTCGTAAGCCTTTAGGAATGGTATCGAGAACTGTGTGGGCTTCAGTCAGGCAACCTACAAATGCTAATGCGACCAGTGTATTTGCCTGAGCATATACAGGCATTTCATGCAGACGTTATCAGCCCGCGCGATGAATTGGGTGGATACAGACAATCGGGTCCAACGCTTCTCCCGAACACCAACAAATCAGTAACGGGCGCTTTGGTTAAATAATGCTGTGTTAGCTGAAAGTGAGAGAAACTGTCATAAATATCCACACTGTTCCCCTTTGATAATCGTAGCCTCTCCGAACGATCACGGGGATATCACGTGTCAGTGAATTGATAAATACATACAGAGAGCCGCTTCCAGGCAGACAGGTATGATATACAGGTCGCGATTGAGTTGAACCGTGTACTAACGGAAGTAGTTACATATGCACAAAATATGTCACCGATAATTGACGTGATAGCGTAAGGAACCACCGAAATTCGACCAGCCGAAAATCCGTAGTTGAAACATAGCCTCAACACATAAAGATATGTATGCCTCGAAATGTCCCGAACTAGGTTTTACGGTTCAGTTTAGGCAAACTGGTTTGTGATCGTATCGGACACGGATTGGCACGAAACAGTTCGACTTCATTTCAGCATCTCATATGATCCACCCAACAGGTAGGATGACCCAGTCGCCAGATAGAGAAACGGTCCTACTAGGGTTTGTCAAATAACCCGGACAGAATCCGTTTGGCAAGTGGTCATGCGTACCGGTCCGAAACAACGATTCCGATTTTATGATGTACGCACATCAGTCTACATGGCCCCACAACTACACATTGTTGCTTCGAAGCACCCGTGAGTGGTATCTTTACTTCCGAAGTTTTCTAATAAAGAAATGAGAGGAATGCATAGGTTAGACTTTCACGGCTGAGGTATAAAGGTTTGTGAACAAAAACAGTGAGTAGTCTACATGAGATTGGTGCTAATCAGTCCGCGTGCCACTATCGTTGGTTCAGACGATGTGAGTTGTAACGCCTGGGAAACTAATACTACCCAGGTGTTCCCAGAGGTAGGACGTTCGCTATCTCACCACTTCTGAATGACGTCCCGTTGTGTTGTTCCTGTGCGGAACCTGTGGCTTGTGCATAACGAAAAAGGGATCGTTGCTGTAACACCCTTCCGGTGCCTAACTGTCATGCCACCCGGAGGAAGCACAAGAGCTGGGACATTGCCATGTTGCCCAAGTCTAGACAGGGGAAGTCGAGAGGCAGAGGTCAGGTTCGAACCACGGATCTTCCGGTCAGTAAATTCGGGCTCTAACCACTTCAGCCATCTCGCTCGCCGAAAAATGCTCGGGTCTAGAACACTTCACTATTGAAATGATGATGCAGTGGGAACATTAAATCGGTTTACCAAATGACCCTACCGCAAAACTTCGTCCCCATAAATAATTTCTTCTAAACTCTACCAATGCTGCTATAGTTCCACAAAATCACAAACCATGAAAGTAACATCTGCTTCACGTCAGTCTACCCCGAATCACGTGGTATCACTTGACTGACGATTAACTTAAACGCCGCCCAAACCTATTTCCAAAGTTACCCTGTTATTCCCAGCCTGTTATTAGCAGTAATTTTATTAACGGAATATTAATGATTGAACAACATGAATGTGATAATAGCTAACCGGTTGTGATGTGTCACTAATCAAATAGAGGCCGAAAATGTCAGCGAGGCGAAAAAATCAACCAGTTTACCCACAATCTGATAATGTGAAAATTATTAAACCCAACAACATTTCCAATGTTGTCAGACAGTTGTGCGAGAAATGAAACTTCCCCAGACAGCCACGCACTCTCACTTCAGTGGCATGCTCCTCAAACCCAGACACACACACACACAAGTGAAAAGAAGCACTGTTTGATGCTACGAGTTGGAGTGGCAGTCCGACTACGTATTGTCCTCTTGGTTATAATTTGGAGTACAGCTTCCGCAGTGAAAGGGGAACTAGTACGCGTAGGTATGCGGACAACGGTTCCTTGTCGCTTCGCAATTCCCATGGAAAAAGCACCACCGCGGTCACGTGCATTAATGCCTTGGAAAAACACATTGTTCGTGCAAAACATTTATTTATGCGTGTGTGATTATGCGGTTGTACAAGCGGAATTTACCAACCGATGTGACTTCTATGAGAATACCACTCCTAGAAAAGGAAGTACTCCAACAGAAAGTAGCTACTCTGAGGTTAATGAATTGTATTCCACGAACAACGCCACACCCACTTGCCGCTTTAGCAGAGATTATGAAACGGTTGACTTCTATGGGAAACAATACAGTACATCAGACGCATAGTTGTCCTTCAATTTTCCTCAGTCTTGAATGACAAATAAAAACGATAAGTGAATTCAAACCAACCTCCATTTGTTGGAATAAGTGAAAAACTAGAAGATATAGTGGCCTGTGTTGACACATCAAGGCGTTAGATTGATGAGTGTCTTCAAAGTATGCTATGGAATCTCTTCAAGATATCGGATGCTTTGAGATGATTTCACATCGGAATCATCTTGCTTAAAACGCACTTAGTGGGGAACACACGGCTTCAAAAGTCAAACCACAATATGAAGCCTATCCAGAATAAGATGAGCTGCCACAGAGTGAGGCGAGTGGCTTGTGCACCACGTGAAACCTAATGAGATTCGGTGTGTTTGTTGCATCGTTTTTCCTTCATTTCTGTTTGAACCCACCCACAGATCTTTGCAGGACCCAGAAAGAGTACGACAATGCGTTTTCGACAGTTTTTGACTGGACGATATGACAGATAGGAGTAAGATCTCGAGGCGAACCGAGGGAAACAGGGTTGCATTGTTATACATCCAAACATGATGTTGTTCTATGGCGTGATGGGTAGACCGAAAATTCCATCATCATGCACGTGGAGCTGTCGCGCGTTCAAGGCGTTCCTTGTGCAATCTTCGGCTTCTTGTTCTCTGTACAGGATAGTGGGAATCCGTTAGGGTGGTGGTAGTGTGTAGTTTATGTCGTGGTGGCACAGCGAAGGTGTGAGCAACCAATCGCATACCACCTTTTTTGATGTCAGCGGTGTGTCGGAACGCTAGGTTGTAAGAAAGTTGACTGTTGAAGACCAGAAAATGTCGTGGACGCTACCAAGAAATGCATCAATCACTTTTAGAAATAGGACCGGGGTAGATGACGCGATACGATCGTCCGAGGAATCATCTACAGGATGAATAAACTTCCGTGTAGAACAAAAAACTGATCGATTGTGATCTAAGCTTTTTCTAGTAGTTCGCGAACGGCTCGTAAATAGGGTTATGTTTCAGTTAGCCTCGCCACCATTAGCTGAATCGCTTCACTGATGATTCCACGCACACTTCCATTACTTCGGAAGTCCCATCCCCAATGGTAGCAGACAGCCACAAAACAGCACCTTTCATTGCCCCACTATCGGTGAACCCAACACCGACAGTCACACGCTCGTTGCGCGACCGTAGTATAACTTGTTTCCGGCTGTTTGAAGGGGTACTGTGTTGCTTCCTCAGGGGCTCGAGACAGTGTGACATGCAGCATGTGACGAGACTGAGCGTGTCATCCCGTCAGATGATTAGATGTATGAAGCATCTATCACAATCTGCGGAATAAAATGCCTCCCCTCCCCGTTTGAGCTTCAAGTCCCCGCCTGTACTGTTTAGCGGTGAAAGCGTTGGTTGGTAAGGTCACTTTTTGAAAACCGAAAATCAGAAAAAGGAAAACCTTCTAACCTATGACATGTGCACATGTTAATAAGACAACTAACACCTATGTGCTGTGCACGTGGTAAACTTACTTTGGCGTTTTGTCCGGGTTTCCGAGGCACCGCAAGTTTTGGATCAATCTGAAGTGCAGGAGGAAAATAAAATAATTAGAAAAGAAGCAAACCCGGATGGATAGTAAAAGTTCTGCAAACTGAACCCACGATTTTTGAATCGCTAATCTGCCCGTGATGTGCTAGAAAGCCATGTGAATATTTTGTGTATCCAGACAAAAAACTATGCACAAATTCGTCTAATCCCAGTGGCGACTAGACTGCAAATTTTATACCTTAATGGCTCTTGTGGCGTACGTAGAGTTGTAAACAAGTAAAAAGAGACGAAATCTCAGCTGGAACTGCAGTGATCGACGGAATACATGTTGAAACTAATGACACATGTACATGAGCCGTTCAATAGGAGTTCGCCAGCCAAGGCATAGTTATCTACTGTTGCGAGTGTGTTTCGTTTAAAGACGTCGAAACAACTTAATGCACCCGTCGTCTCTCATTAAACGACTCAGATCGAGAATGATCGAGGAAATGGCATCGATCAAGTGGGCTGCACTCGCGTTCACCACGCCCTTTGATTGTCTGGTTACGTTGCACGGCGGCATGCGTTCAACAGTTCTTCGAGATTAGTTGGAGGTGTTTGCGGGATACGTGGAATTGACATGCACATTACTCGTGTGAACAGTGCTCCACCTGTCCTGGACTCAACAGAATAATTGCGCCAGGACGAAAGCAAGACTGTCCATATGACAGTGATGTGAACGCGAATTATATGAGAAGCATGTCGGATCATTCGACCCATATAGCTTTCGAAACACACAAACGAACGAACTGATCGCCGGAGAAGAGTTGTGGACTAGCAACGTTTCCTTGAGGGTTGGGTAGAGCAACCGCCCATTGGCGAGGTGTTTCTTGACTTTTTTACTTGAAAGTTTGTTTGTGTTTGGTTCATTGTTAGCTTTCCTGTAAGATTGATCACAAAAATTATTCTTATTCTTCGAACAAACACAAACGAAATAGTTTATCATCCCGGTAGTTAAGATTGATACTGGTTGGTTGTTCACTAAAACCTCCGTGCACTTTCACAAAAATCGAATGAAACAGACCCAAGTACAAATATTGCGGCAAAAAATAACCGAATAACCGTTTTGACTGCCCCCTACTGAAGGCATCTACTCGCCAACAACTACATAAGACAGAGGGAATAAAAGTCTGTATTCTGAAACTTTGCAGTCAACAGTAAGTCCATAGCTATCCGAGTAAAAGCTACGAAAATAGTATTTCAAATATATGAGAATTTATGGAAAGCAGCTGACAGATTAAGAACTTTCTGGATTTGACACTACTGACGGGGATGATGAAAATGTGGGACACCCATACTTCGCTTCCGGCCAAAAGCTCCCGGCTCCCGAAAATAAAGAGAAGTCTCGTGGTTCGATCACTGCTGGCCGGTAAAGCTTATTCGAACGCGGGCCACTTATATCAACGAAAGATTCATTTAAGTCTAATACCTTGGAACTTATATCCGATATGAAGGGGAAGAGAACTAACTAGGGCAGCACGCCCACACAGAGGTTCACGTGTCACATCTCGGCAGCAGTTTTTACCCTCATGTGATAGACACCTGATCAAATCAATATTTCACTCCTCCAACGGTTGATCGAGCGATTCTTAGCCGGATTTGAATGCCCTCCCTTCATTCAATTTGTGAACGCACTTCCTAAAGTCTATTTTCTATGTTTTCATTACATACACCGGGGAGCAGCCCGAGGAAGAACAGTGAGTCCCTGTACCGCAAAAATCGTATTACGAGGCAGTCTGGAGGTATATTCACAATATGCTCTGTGATAGGAGTATGAAGGCAATAAAGCGTCCACCTAGGCGACCAGCATATCTTTCTCTTCCAACTAACGATGCCACGTTCCCCCGAAAAAGGATGGATTAGACAAGGTTGGCCCAAAAAACCACACACTCCGATCACCCAACGGTTGACTGTGACCGCCAGCGCATTATTCCATACAGTCGAAATACTTTTAACACCAAAGTCTGCTACTGCTCAGGTGACTGCTTGGCGCAGCCGCATTAGGAGTGAGACAGTAATGCCTTACTACTTGCGTCCTCGGGCCAGCCTGTATAGTCAAGTGGGTCAGACTTTTTAGTCACTAACTCCAGGATGGGTCCCCCAAGAAAACCCTAGCAACTGCTGCCTCATAGTTCAGATTTTTGAGTCAGAGGCTAGGAAAAGGACCACTAGACAAAGCCCTACATCCTCCCACTGCCTTATGGGTTAGGCTTTTGAGTCTAAAGCTCAAGGTGACGTGCCTCGACCAACCCGCTTGTTTGGCTTGGGCAACCGGGAATTATCACTATCCCTCACCCACCGGTATTCCCCCACGCCCCCTCATCACCCACCGGAGAATGCAGTGTTATCAACCTACCGGCCAGTGCCCTAGCAATTGTTCTTTATCTAAACGATCACCCAGAGGCATAAACCAAAGCACACACTCAAAATATCTGATCTACTTTGCAGCCTACAATGTCCATACTCTATGTCGAATTGGGCAGCAGGCAACCCATGCTGAAACCTTGCTCACCCTCTCCGTTAATGCATATTATATCTCCAGGACACTCATACAAGGATGCCAGTGGAATGGAGCTCCTCAACCATCACCCCAGTCTTCAAAAGGAGCGGAAGAACACCTCATGAAAACCATCGTGAAACCAGCCTGGCATCTGTCGCATGTAAGTTGCTTTCCGGGAATATTTTGCGCAGAACCCCTCTTCCTACGTTGACCGTTTTTCTTGAGCCGAAAGATGCTTTTCACGCTGCCGATCGTTAGAAAATTTAGCCGTTTCCGATGATCAAGAGTGTCCCATTCAAATTTATATCCGCAATGAGGGCACTGTAAGCGAACTCCTGTAGGCATGTACGAGTATACGGGGAACTTTGACCTGAGTTCACTATGCCCAGTGGTGTAAGGGAAGGCTTCGCTCTGTCGCATTTCCTCTCCAGATTCGTTATTGATATGCTGCTTGAAATTTCTCTGCTTGCCTCTGAAACCTCGAAATGTTCCTGGGACATTCGCTCACAGACATGCAAATCATTTCAAATAACATAACTTAAATAATTCTGTCGTCAGATTTGATATGGACTTTGAACCTTCCATCGTCTCCAGGGCTTCGGTCCATGTCCCACACCTTCTGCTACTCGAAACTGTAACAGATGAAACCAATGTGCCCATATAATAAGGTTTATAGCTGATAAATTGAATTGAATTGAGTGTGGAGTGTGTTTCTGAACAGATACCTGGTTGTTGATACTAGGGCTCTTGGTGTTTTGGCGGGTATATTCCATTGAACTCCCTCTATTAATTATCCCTCCCTCCACCGGAACATTTCATTCAACAGTGAATTTGAACAGGACAACAAGCTACCTTTCTTGGACGTTTTCACCCCCAGAAATACGGACTGCACTATGTCTCGCTTTGTGTATCGGAAAGCAAATTCGACTGGACAATATATAAGCTTTACTAATTTTTGTCCGTTACAGTATAAACTTGCGTTCGTGGTGACATACTTTTACCTTGGATAGACTCGCTGAGGAAGTTGAATTGCTGAAAGATGTACTGTGGTCAAATAACTATTATGAGCACTTCATCGAGAAGCTCCGAGTGGTAGACCGAAAGTGCACGCACAGTGCCGAAAAGGACACTGATATTCATTTCGGCCTAGTAAAACGAACACAAAACGTATCCCTGCATCAGACCTACCACTACCGACAATCAAAAGCCGACTTCACTTTTATCTATAATTCATCAGCTTATTCGTAGTTTCGGCGAAGAATATATCGACATAACTGACAGAAGGCCATGGACACGGCCAAGAGGGCGTGTCCAAAAACCTCAGTGCTACGTCAGCTGGCTAAAATCAACGGTGATCGAATCCAGAGTCAAATCATCTATTGCTAGGCATCTTATCGACATCGTTCACAGAGGTGAACTCAATTCGTTGTTCCGGGTATCAGCACGCCGCAGACGGTCATCGGTTTTGAAGTTCATCGAGGTCACACTGACTAGACCTTTTCAGCCTGCCCACGGCGAGCACCACTATTAGACTGCCTTGATTTTATTGATCGGTCACGTTACAGAATCTTTATGTCGTAAGCTGCATGTTACTATATATCTCATGTTGTTTTGAACGTTCTGCAGTAGAACAGAGTGTAGGAAATGAATTCATTCCGCAACCTTGCTGTTCTCCCAACCTTGTTCAAAGTCCATTGTATCGTGAAGGTACAGACGAAATCCATGAAAACAGTTCCAGTGAGTCAATACAAAGGTATTGGGACTACTCCCGAATGGGGATTGTCCATACCTTATTCACCAACGGTCGCGCTGCTAAGCTTCACTTCGGAAATACCTGTTAATTTCACATAAGAAAGCTTGCTTAGGACTGCGCACCAGTTTATGGCGATTCATACGAGGAATATCCTGCAGAAGAACAAATGTTAAAGTCAGAATCCCTTGCAAATCAATCACCAATGTCCATTGGATGTGCAGCTATGAGGTTCTGGGGCAAGTAACGTAGCCGCTGAAATCACGGCAAATTGTGGACAAATTGCACAGAGTGATTTCATGTCACCAAAAGTTGGTAATGCACAAGATTTGGGGGGAAAACCATCGGTCACGTACATCCTGATCGGAGTCATTCATGAAATTCCGATCATCACACTTCGTGACAGATGACGTAATGTAAGGTGAGAGCACTGGCTGTCTGATCGTGATTAAATTGAAAGCATGAATCATTTATCGCGGTGAGATGACAGGCATGCAAATCAACAAATAAGCGCCCCTGAGACAGTTTGATGGCGAGCGATAGATCGATGAAACGCCGCCAGCATGACGAATCATGAGAGCTACGTGCTGCTTCTGCCAAGTTATGTCCATCATTTATGCCGGAATCGCCCTATAGATGAAAAATTCAGCTTTCAGTCATTTGTTGAAAAGAACTAGTGTCCATATCCACCTTTTCTGTCACACTCGGTATTCCCATCGAGTTCTCAAGCTTTCAGACACGCGAGACGTAAGCTACTCATAAAAGGTTGGTTGTTGAACTACGGGTTGTTTCTGCCCAGTGCATGCACTATGTGCATGTACGTGCCTGTAGGCCGAAACACTGTGCAGGTTGGATGCTCCGACAGCTGAGCAAAAGTGCGTCGCTTTCAGTGGGGCGCTTATCGCACGAGGCTGTCAAGGAGCTCGCTTCAAATTCACATGACTAACGTACACGGGAGCTAAAGGGAACTGGCATCAAGACAACATGGCAGATGATAGCAAATGATCTGAATAAAGTTGGAGAACTGGAAGTACGATCATTCGTTTTCACTCATGTTACCAATCTGATCAACCAAGAGACACAGTAGCTCAACGGGGTGAGATGAACAATATACCAAATGGATATGGACACAAATTCCTTAGCGGTGTTGTTACGCCACGTACATCTATTGTTTTTTAATCCCGTACAGATATTGTCCCGCACCAATGAAAGAATGTGCTGACCTCAGTCGCTGAACCAAATGTGGTATTCTGGCCTGTAGACCCATAATTACGTTTGATTAACAAATGCGGTTGTTCCGATTTTGAAGGAGCGCTGCGTGTAATATATGGCATTCCATTCTAAGTTGTGGAAAACGGTGTCATGCACCAGCAAGAACTTCCTAAGCTCAGTGGTCGTGGCAAGAAGTTCAAATTCGCATAGAGAAGGTTACGACAGCAAACATCCTGAAATCACACCCAGTTGTTTCCACATGGCCTATCGACATATTTGTGTGAGTCATTCTTCATAAGGAGTGAACACTGTATCGCACATAAAAATTTTGTTTAACCGAAGGTTCGGATCGAACAGAAGTCTAATTCAAACTAGATTACCCTTTGAAAACTCACTAACTTTGATGAAGTCCTAGCCCCACAATCGTTCGCATAGCTAAGATCCTGCCTTAACTCGTTATTGGAGATAAGATTGTAGGCTTTTTACTGAATATAGAAGTCACAGATAGATTTGATCGTCTGCTTCATCCAAACAGGGTCTTCTACATCCTGCTTAATTTGTAGATTCACCTAGCACTCTGTCTATTGCAAAACTCTGTGAAATACCATCAACGTAACACTAGGCGAAAAAGAAGTACCGTATTCTGACTTATCCTGGTGACCATCTTGATGTCTGATGGTGAAAGGGGATTCGATAAAGCAACGTCTAAAACAAGGTCTAAAGCCATGGAAGGGAGACGTCCTGGAGTTGTTCCCTAAGCAGTGACTGCTTCAGAACGCTTCGGAGGGTCCCTTGACGCTCTGCATATGTGTCATTAATTTAAGTTTTTTTGTATCAATTTCCTGTGGTCGTGCGACACTGAAGAATCGACGCCCGTTCAGTTCTTGACGTCCTTGCTTAGTTGCGTCACTTGTGACGTCAAAAAGGCATCTCACTGGATCTTAAGGGTCGTGTGTACCAGGCTACAGTAAGGGCTGTGTTATTGTATGGGTGCGAGACATGGCCTCTGCGGGTAGATGATGTGAGAAGTCTTCAAGTTTTCGACCACCGATGCCTCAGAAGCGTGGCTGGTTTTGGATGGCGTCAGCGTGTTAGTAACCAAGTGATTTGAATAACGGGTAGTTGGTTGTACTGCAGGTACTTCAATCAGGAAAACATCCAGAATCATCCACTAAGATGGCTAGGTCATGTTCTACGCATGCTGAAACACCGTCTACTGAGACGAGTGTTGTTCTCAGTGCCTCCTTCAGGATGGTGCCAACCGCGAGGTGGACAGCACATGACTTGGCAGAAAGGCGTGAAAGAGATCACGAAGAGTTTGGATATTGTTGTTGTTGTTGTGCGACTTCCAGGATGGGGTCCTCGTGACCCCGTCTGTGCTTGGCTGGAGACATTGCAAGAAATGGCGGCTAATCGATATCAGTGGCGTTCGTGCTGTCAGTTTCTTTCCAGATTGTCTGACTGATCTGTTGGAGGTGTAGGCACCTCAGTATGCTTGACATAGGCCAGCACTAGGTCCCCTCACGCACCCACACTCTTTTTCTCTTCTCTTCTCCGTAGGGCTTCTAATACAATTATATATATATATATATATATACCCTGATAAGACAAAACGACTCAATATTACCGTAAAAGCGAAGCTGACTCACGACACGAGTATTCACGGTTATTAACTACTAGAAATAATTCAGTAGTGCAAAGAGAACGTGTCTTCCAAGTGGATACACTTCACTTGAACACACGGCACATAAATGATCTAGCAAAGACGAAGAGGCAACATCGTAGCAATCTGATGATTTTCGACTGAGAGAGGGAACTTTGCAAGATGAACTTCGTTGAAAATGGGAGAGCTCACATTTGAAGTAAGCCCAGTGATCCAAGAGAAACACGGATGTAGTTAAAAGGGAATACTGTTCCTGGTGGACGCGCCTGCCGTCGAGCCACGAGACTGTTTAAGCAAGAGTTGATCTGTACGTGATAGTACGTTTCTCTGATGACGAAAATTAGCTTGTTACAAGTGGAAACAGTTAGATCCCTATACATCGCCCCAGGAAACTGAGTGAATGAGTATATGGCACTCAGGTAGTTGAGCGCCCCTGTTAATTTAAGGTCAATAGGGCAAGAAGTCAGTACAATACAGTGCGGTGATTAGAAGGGATCCTGAAAAGCAAACAAGCAGTACTTAGCGGATACCGATTCCCTTGAAGCGTATAATCACCGAAGCTCGACCTACAAACAAAACGTCAGATAGTACTAAAAAGGCAACCGATATATCGCGGAAGTTTGACCCCAGTTCACAGCATGTCCAAAAAGAAACATCCGTGTTCACCTGACTTGACCCATACAACACCAAAATCTGCACATCACGGGGTTCCTCTCACTGGGTCGAAAATCTTGTGACCAATAATAATTCCTGTGACTCTAATAGAAAGCTCAGACTGAATTTGGTGAGACCAACAAGAGCAAAAAATGGATCAAAGGTTCAAAACACTCACTTTTTTGGAGTCGAGGAAATGTGGGGCACTTTCTAAGACTTTTTCCACACAAACCGAATCACAGAATGTGACGAAGCCAAAGCCTCTGTGAATGCGAGAAGTAAAAAAAAATTACGATGAAGCAGACATTCGGTAGGAAAGTCAGTCAATGCCATCGCATTCCGCAGATATGACGTATAAAAGTGTGGTTTGAGAAGGTAGGTTACAGCGCATTGGGAAGAACTGAAAACGAACATTGCACGATGTTTTGAGACCTTATAAATCGACTTTCAATCCTGAAGGAGAATTTCGGGATCAATGGCGCTATCGAGGTTGAGGAAATCGAGGTCCTTTAGTCAAGCAAATTTTAGCGACTCTACATAATATCGACCAGCAACAAGAACATTCCAAACAAGTTTCTCATCCACTGACGGATTAAAATGGCCATAGAACTCGACATTCTATATTTTGAATGCCAATTGTTAAAAACTTCAGGAGTGACACTGTTCGAAAATGCCTGAGTATCCGGTCACACACTGGCATCTAACAAAATACACAAGTTTTCCATTCTTGCCTAATGGCTTATGTAATTTGCATCCGTTGCGGAAATTGACCGGTAGATAACGAGCATCACCAAAATGTCGAGGTTATGTCAGACCTAATATCTGAGCGCATTCAAAGGCTGAACAATACGCGAGAGTATAAAAACGGGTAGAAAACGAATTTACACTGGCAAATTCACGAGGAAACGACGAACTATGCTGAAATTTTAGCCATCACAGACATGAATTTCATTTTGCGGATTCAGAAACTGCCTGCACGTATTAGTTTGTCTGGAAGTGTTCACACTCAGAAAGACTCCATTCCATAGCGATTATTCAACAACTTCATAGTTGGCTGTTTGGTGCGACACGCTGATAAAGCTGTGAGACCAAACGTAGTACGTCATGCCTATATAAGAAATAAGTCACGATGCCTAGCAAAGTATTGGTGGGCAAGCACGTCATGAAGAGATAGTCCAGATATGTCCATATAGATATACTTCACCAACAAGCCGATAATGTTATCTTGATGTGGAAGCCAGACAACTCAGCGACTCTCATCATTTGTTGACCCTTCTTCGGAATAAATACCTGCCTCTGGATGACCCTAACCTTCCAAGAAAAACACTCCTTCATCCATAACCTCAGCTTGGAGTCTCTGTGAGTCTCTCACAGAACCAAATTAGTTTGCAAATGAGTGTATTTTTTAAGGTCGCCCCAAGAAGGACGAAACCGGTCGTGGGTTGTCGAGGAGTTTGCGGCAACCTTATGAGTAGTGCATTACAAATATATATGTATCGCGATATCTCGAATATCGTAGAGACTGAAACATGAGGCGGCCTTGTGAGGCACACTCAGTTGCCCGGAAACACGAAAACCGAGAGATTCAGCTGGATTCCAGCTGAGTCTCTCGCAAAACCAAATTAGTTTGCAAACGAGTGTATTTCGCTAATAACCTCAGCTTCTTACATTTGTCGAAATGATAAAAGATGTCAGTGAAATACTGTGGGAGTAAGTACATTCACTTAGTCGCGCTTGCTCATTCCACATAAGCAAGTCAGCTATAAACCAGAGCGGATGGTTTCAAGCGCCAGCCTGAACTAAGAGCCGAAAAAACGATGGTAGGAAAATCACCCACTGAATACAACGGTCCAACAACTCCACCGACTTTGGACTGATTCATTTACGGAAGTTATCAGGGAAGTTTCCCAGCTAGTGCTGATTCGCACTACTTGCAGATGATGATTGCACTAGTTAACAAAGGACTAAACGCGCACTACGTGCACGATAGTCTTGTAGGATTCACTTGGATTGTACCAACCTCACCAACTCCTATGAATTGCCCGTGGATAAGTGAACCTAAAGTGCAGGATTGTTAGCAACTGAATCATTCGGCTCATGAATAATATACTATAACAATGTCATTCCGGTCTCTATTACAACTTGAAATCAAAACACTTAAACTCGTACTTGAGAGAATTCGCACTTCAAAAAGATCAGTCACAAAATAATCGGTAGAAGCTCAAAACCACAGTCTGTGTCAGGAGTAACTGAAGGATTGCAATTCTAACTTGACGGCTTTCATTATCGGATTACACAACTTGCTGCGAAAGAAACCTTTTCAAGGGGAAGCCAATCCTGCGAATGGTTCATAAACACTTTCGTGCTGGTGCATAACCGACGTGAGAGAGTGCACCTCCATGGAAAGCACCTTATAACAGCTTATCTCCCATGAATGGTTATAGATGATGTTACGAATAGAAAAACAAGGCACTGACTTATTCTATGCACGTGGCACAAATAATCCTTCCAAGTTTTAGTGGAACTCGCTTAACAAATTTTCGAACGCTGCTGGTCACTAGTGGAACTTTTGGGTACAGGAGAGGGAGAAGCAAACTTCGAAACAGCAGGTGATCTGCGGAAGAAGTCAGAAGAACACTATGCAAACGAGGCGTAGGGTTTAACAGTCAAAGAAACATAGGTAGATAAACATGAATATCTCCTCACATCAACGTCTTAGCATTCGCTGAAATCGAACGATGGGCGCATATCGCACCAAATAAATGGAGGCTCTCTTTTGTAAAAATACAGTTGTGCTACTCAGCTCCAACTAAACGTGACTTCTTCTGGCGGGGTTTTGGGGTTCCCAAATAGCGATCTCTTTCAGTGATCGCTCCTCTTCCTGAAGGTGGCCTGTCCAGAGGTGGGAAACTGGATAACCACTGTCAAAATTCTAGTTACCATGTCATCTGAGAATGGCGGACAAGCGCACGTAGTTTATCTCCATGATTTAAAATACCCACACGTACCGGGATCGTTTGGTAAGAGGATCGCGCATGATCATGCACTCCTTGACTTCACCGAATCTCTGGAAATATTCTCTGAGTTTATCTGTGGAAGAAGAAAGAAGAAAGATAGAACAATTGAAGCAGAATCCGAACCTACTTGGTGGTGCTGAATCGTTCACTAAAACATATGTCTCCGATGCTTAAGTGAGCTAACCGAAGACTTCGTTCGTGTGTACATATTAAGAACTCCGTTGTTCAGACAGCCCTAGAAGACGGGGACGGTAGAAGTCGAGCTCAGAAGTCGAGCGGCATTATTGGCCGTATGAGTGAGACTTCCAACTGTGAATAATAGTGAGTAATCAACCTCAGTTTGACTCGCATCCAATAAGGACGGATCAGTGGCAAGAGTCATACAAAACGGAAGTTCGTCACCAGTGAGATGTATTAATTACGGATCCAGAACGTGAAAGGACTGGAAGTTGAACACTACGGGCAAGTCTAATGACAAGAGGAAACTGCAACTGAAAATGCAACATTCCTCGACTAGGATATCGGCAGTTCCTTTGGCATCCCAGGCGACGTATAGTATGGATGTGCTCACAAAGTTTGCGCAACTGATCGATTTGGCTACGAATGTCTGAAAATTAGCATATACCGAACCCAGTATTATCTGATGGCTGCCCCATATGCGCCTAATGTGTGTGTGCGTAACCGGTATGCGAGTAGATCTCAGTGGTATGCGCCAAAGAAACGTTATATCTACTGCACACAGCAATTGATCTATAGTAACTAAGTGATTCGACAATATGGCTTGGAATTTGAAGCATAAGAGTAAATCGCGAAGTTGTTGGAGCAGATTGAAGAAAACTGGCGTAAAAGACCCTATGAATCCTAATCAAGAAGCAAGGCAGCTGGAATAGCACGCTTGGGAAATTAGGCACATATCGAGCAATATTCGAGTCACGAAATGCAAACCAACGCGCCAGACAATAATGGAATTTAGATAAACCAGTCAATGGAAGACTGGTTTCGACAGACATGAGTGCCCAATGAAAGTAACTAATTTAACAATGTTCAACTGAGCACATTGGAGACAGGTTGGTCGGGGTCAAACAAGCAAATTTAAGAAAGAGCTAATTAAAACTCAATTATTAGAACGGGAATCGGCTCGACCCGTGGAATATCGTCCCGTCAAACAAGAGGAGAGAAAAATCTACTGTCTCAGCCGCATCAGCTGCTTAATTTTCTTGTGAAGATAGTCTGATAGGAAGACAACACCGATATGATCCCGCGAACTTAGGACTGGGCGACTCATAGATTACCTCGAACCGTAGAAATATCTAAACAAAAAAAGCGAAAACCAACTTTTCTCACACGTGACCGTTTCATTTGGGCCTCAGCTAGAGCACAGTGTGAATTGACGAGACATCTACTCATTCACAAGGCTGTGACAATGGACAGAGGCCTCGAAGTGACTCATGCATCATTCAGATGAACCTCACTCCAAACACAAGAAAGACGCAGATCGGTGACAGTTTTATTTGCCAGTGTAGTCGAACGGAAATCCCCAACTAAACAACGCTCTCATTCCAGGCCATCACGGTCTTATTGGTGGGCTAATCCATTGTGGAATTGTACAACCCTCCAAACATAGTTTAGAGGAGTGTACCTAATCAGTCAGTTTGGGTGTATGATAACGCCAAAAGAGTGACCACACTGAACAGACTCCTTTCGTGGTGTCCGTACTTCGGAGCGACTAATTTCGAGAGCGAAGAGAGACATGCAATGCCCAAAATGTGACGTGAGATTATATGAGGCAGTGGGTTTTTCATCACAGTTCCCCCCGTTAACGGAGACAATGCCCGAAAATGGCAACAGCATCTAGGACGAATGTGTTTCAGCCCGATTAGAAGTATTGCAGCATGACAGCATTGATGGGGGTAGAAGATAGAATAGGACAGCCGTAAATTTCAGGACCAACCGACTGAATATACAGCTCACAGTCAACGGCCTAAGCGATTGAAAAGACCCTGATGCAACTTCAATCTCACAATCATATGTTTTAAACTGATTAGGGAGAGTCAACAAAAGAAAGTACCATCACTGGAACAGGAAAGATGAGGAGTCGTCCTTATATGACCTTTCTTCTCGTGAACAGTTCGGCTGTTGTGTTCCTTATTATGTTATCATGGTATTCAGATAGACACTAGTTAACAATCGAAAGCTTGGAACCATCTCTGATAAAAAGAAAACATGAACTGAGACCCACCTGCGGTTGTTGTTGGACTGAGTCCACCAATGAACATTTTGCTGAAATGATAAGAGAGAAGTTGGGTGAAACAATTTGATACCAAAAGGTTGGTAGATGTAGTACGAGTGTTGGGTAAAATAGGTCATTTTGCGAAGCACTGCAAAAAACCACTATCGAGACAATAACCCTTCAGCTGTAACGCATTTCCGGTGCCTAGCGGCCATTCCACCAGAAGGAAACATGAATGTTGAGATACTGTCCGGCCACCCAGGCCTGGACAAGAGAAGTCAAGATGCTGAGGTTGGGTCTGAACTACGAACCTCCCGGTCAGTAAATTCGCGCCTCATATACTGAGCTACATCGAGCTCGAGATGGACATGAACGATGAGTACACAATCCGGATGCTTGAACTGTTTCAAACAGTTAATTTACGATGACACTAATGGAGTCAAATCATTAGGGAACTGATTTTCGGTGGATTTTATGAAGTGCGATACGTGTCTGATTGTCCGTAGACCAGCGATATCGTGACCAATAGCTACCCGTCCGACGTGGATGACGGGATGGATTCCACAAAACACAGTACACTAAGCCGAATACCCCGAAAGAAAGTAATTTGCATGCCTTGTTCATTACATTCGTCCTTCGAGTGTGGAGCACGCTATCGGACGAATGTGCGATGTCTGGGAGGTGCGCCCACTTCCACAGCCTTGCGGACATCAGCTACGAACAAAAGCTCATGGGATCTGCGCGGATGACGCAGTTGACACGAAACTGAGGTTCTCATCCACAATCCAATGGTGAAAAACGAACATCCGGAGAATATCGTAATAAATAAATGGTTCAGTTGTAGCATCCTTTCGGTGCCTAGCCGCCATGCCACACAATGGAGACACGAGGGCTGGAATACTGCCAGGTTGCTCAAGCCTAGACGGGCAGAGGTCTGGTTTGAACCACGGATCTTCCGGTTATCAAATTCGCGCTCTAACCATTTGGTCCATCTCGCCCCCCCCCCCCCCAGAATATCGTAATGAAATATAATAAGAAAGAAGAAAGAAAGCGTTCAGCTGTAGCACCTTCCGGTGCCTAACTGCCATGCCACCCGAAGGAAGCACGAGGGCTAGGATACTGCCAGGTTGCCCAAGCCTAGACAGGGGAAGTCGAGTGGCGGCGGTCGGATTCGAACCACGAACCTTCCGGTCAGTAAATTCGCGCTCTAACCACTTGGGCCATCTCGCCCCGAAATATAATAAAATACTAGAGGAAAAGCTTTACAAGGTAAAAGTCAGTCAGACTTGAAGATGCCTATGTACGTTAAGCTACACTTCAGAAGCGATGCCGTGATATATATCTCAAACAATTGGTGAGCGCATGCGGTCACTCAGTGAAATCCGACAGACGAAACACGTGATAAGTGCGATTGTGGCTCATCTGGTCGACCCAGTTACCGGATCCATCAGTGTGATGTGTCGATTGTCACCAAATCGTTCCAAGATCGTAATCGAGATCTCGTCTTGTACACTGTCACTTTTACCAAATCCTCAGCCACTTCATCTGTATCTTTATGCATCTTTTAACCGTTTCTCCAGTTGTAACTTTATTTGCCTTATCAGACTCTATCGAAAACAACTATTCGTAATACAGGATGTGCAAAAACACGGAAATATTCGACAGAGAGAGATTACTAGCAAATATGGGTTGAAAAGCAGGTGTGCGGATCTGAAAAAATCCACCGATGCATGTTAATCACATATACCATTGCTTTCCCTCGTGTGTAAATGTACCTAGACTATTTGATCAACCAGATCACAAACGTGACCAGGACAGTACCACATGTGAATCTTTTGTGACAAAGGTGAGGGTACTCTATGACCGCACACGTGGCTCATTCGAGCTACGAAATACAGCGCCTCGGCAAAAAAACATCAATTTCATGACGAATGATGCCAAGAAGAATAAGCCATATTATTTTATGTTGATAAGCTGACACACACTATGTAAGACTTAATTACGTTGTTCGTCACATTTCAGAATCTGATTTTCGGAGAGAAGCCTTGCCTGTACAGCACAGTACACCTGTTCAGAAAACTGCAAAACGAGTGTCATTAGTTGTTTAGGCATTTCGCATTAAATTAGTTTGGTAGAAGATCCCATAGTTAGAGGTAATTTAAACATCAAGCACAAGGAGGTCGTACATCTGATGCAAAAATCCTCCCTCAAGCTGCCTCTTATGAAGCCCATTAAATTCCCTATGGCTTTGATTCCACTAGAAGGGTCTACGTCGATCAGAAGGTTTTGTGGTCACACCTACATACTGAAGTCTATTGGTAGAAAGTGAACCAGCCAACTCCAGCTGCAGATGGGTTAATCTCAAACCCGAGAAATAGCGAATTCTTTGTAATTGCCTCCGTCCTCTAATTGTGGCAAAAACTATCATCCCCCTGACTGAAACGTGTTTAGTGCTACCTACCAGGCTTCAAGTTTGCACACATTTGAGATCGTTCCGCGTCAAACGCAAGTTCGTTTAAAGTGGCCATCCAATGAGAAATCAGTTGGAAAGACTCAACCAAACGTCACCGTTTGGTGACTGAATTGGCGTGCTCATATGCCTCGCGTTCACAAAAAATCCACCTAATCAGTGAAACCGAGCAACGCATGTTTACTGGCTGATGATTTCAACCACCTACAATATTCCACAACCTCTATTGGGATGGTTTTACAGTCCCTGTATAATAGTCTTGGAGATGGTCACATAGAGCCCACATCCGGAGAGCAAACTCATTAGATTGAGATGATTCAGTGGTTAGCGCGCGAAATTAGAGATCAGAGCATCTATGGTTCGAGCCCGACACCGGCATCCCGACTGCTCGTATCCAGGCTTGGGTAAACTGACAGTTTCTTAGCCCTCGTACTTCCTTCGGGTGGAAGCTGGACACCGGAAGGGTATTTACAATAGGACGATTATTATTGTTACTTCAGCAAACTCAAAATACGGCCTGAAAATGGCAGCAGCAACTCCTGAGCTCAATCTGTAGTTAGTACCCTAAGCACTTTCTGCTGACGGTCATCGTAAATTTTGTTGATCCCAGAAAACCAAGTCAGCCCAAGACAACTAAGTTAATAGTCCTGACGTGCTGTTTCATTCGTTTTGAATAGTATCCTGTGCATGCACCCTATTCGCATGAGTCTTTATGCAACATACTCTTGATAACAATAGACATAAGTCTGGAATTCAACTTCTAGTTTGTTAGTAGGCGCTTGTATGCTACGTTTTAAGCTTCCACATTTATCGTGTAGTTACTCGTTTCAGAGCTGGGGAAAAACGGTCGGACGACCAGACTATCCTTAATTTATTAGGCAACCATCTTCGACAGCCTTGATCTAGGTGACTTCATGAAATTCCTTTTTGGCAAAGACCGTCAATTATCCCATTGCTATTTCGCAATTCCCACGCTTCTCAAGGAACTAGTCCATCCCCTTTCCTGTTTCCTGTGTATCAAAGATCGAAGTTCCCTGATACCATCAACACCCTCGCGGACGAAGTCTACTTTACAGTCGCTTAATAAGAGTACGAAAGCCTTCTTCAAAGCGGGGTGACTTTCTCGGTATTCTTAAGATTTGAATGGTTTGTCTGTCCCATGTTATGTCATTTCAAGGTTTTTGCTCCTATGTGCCATTGTCCCCCCGCATGTTTCGGTTTCGAAGAGAGAAGACCAAACTGATTGTTCGGTTCGTTATAGTGGTACCCAAGCGCAACGATCTCGACTGAAATGTCTTTGCGGAACTCGATATTCTTGAAAGTTTTTGCTCATTTTCCCGGTCATTAGGTTTTACGAGATTCCGAACTACCAAAGTTTATTTCAGCGTCCATGATAAATGCGAACAGTCACTTACCCTATTTTGCCTGCATATCTATGACTCATAGCCCGATCCCACTTTACAGCGCGTATTTCTGATAAATCCACATCCATAGTTTTTTGAATCGATTCTTTTTTCATCCTGCAACAAATCCACTCATACGATGAGAACTAAAAATTCACCATTTGGTGGTGAACGAAGCTTTGCCTGGCATGTCAGTCCGCGGGGAAGCTATCAAAATGTCATCAAGCAACATCCGAATGCTTCTTTACAAATGTACGACAAGCTAGGACAATAGTTCTCTATTTGTGTCGCTCTACTAGGGGCTCATCTGTTAGGCGTAACAAGCGTTACAGACCCGACAAAATCATCCTACGTTGATCGCAGTTTGGTTGTCTGTGCAATCGGCTGGCAATCAGATGGGTTTGAAAAATAGAGATGGCTCAGTCGTTATGGCGTGAAATCAATGACTGCAAGGTCCACGGTTCGAAGTCAACTCTGGCACCTCGACTGTTCCTGTCTGGGCCTGGGCAACCTAACAGCATCTCAACTTCCATTAAATGTCATGCCAGCCAGGTACCAAAAGTGTGGTATACCTGAACGAGTCTTTTCTATTTATAAAGTTGCACATGAATATCGTGACCTTAACCTCATCTATTAAGTCCTTAATCACCATTTTCAGATCTTCAGGAGCATATTTGACGGCCAGAATGATAAACAGAAGGCTGCATGTCCAACTTTTGACGTCCTATACAAGCGCCCCGGGGTGAGTGTGTACCATGCGGCGGTGCCTATCTGTCAGTTGCAGATAAGTGACAACGAGCTCACCACTGATGACAAGTCTAAACATGCCAGGCACTAGGATGCTATTGACTGAGGTTTCGGAACTGCACTGACATGAGTATGAGCCCATGAATCATACAGTTGGCTCCTAAGAGCAGCACCCGGCTTCATACTCAAGCATTCTTACACAAATAAGGAACAAAGCGTTCCCTTTATCCATTTGGCTAAAACAGAGTGAATGCACAGTACGGCATACTGGTATTTCCGTAGACGACTGCACAGGTATGAGCCCAGTCAGGCAGTACGGTTGGTAAACACGCGTGATAAAAGTCTCACAAACAAAAAGCATCCAAAACTGAAATGCTCTCGCTTATCTGGCGCAGATTCACATCCGCAAAAACGACGTTAGGACCAACTT